AATAGGGCTATCTTACCCATGAGATGGGGCCAGTCTGATCTGAGCACCCCCTTGTCTGCCAGCCTCTCCTAGTGTTCTTGCTTGGCCATGCCTGATTGCAGCACAGCCTCAGATGACCTATTGAGGTGCTTCCCAGTGGCCACTGCCACAGCTTTTTTAGCAAAAGACCCCACCTAACCATTAGAAAGCTTTTGCAAAGGGGCTGCTGTCAGCACACACTGCCACAAACATCCCCTGACTGCTTTGCCTACACCCCTCATTGGAATGTTGTTGCAGGCAGACTGAGAACACCGTGGCCCCTCCAGTACAGCAGTTGCTTATCTTGAAGAGCCAGAGAACAATGTTATGGGCCTGGACAGAGGCCCTCTGGATTACAGCATGTAACCCACAAGTGCTAAGCTGGGCCCTGGTACCTGGAAATCATCCAGAAACGAAGCCAGTCAACTAAACCCAACTTATATATAACAGTCAAACCCTCAATGACATCAAAGAAGATAAAAGCAAAAAAATCCCATCTAAAGGACAGCAACTTCAAAAATTAAAGGAACATCATCCCACAAAGATGAGAAAGAACCAGAGTAAGAATTCTGGCAAGTCTAAAAGCCAGACTGTCTTCTTACCACCAAATGAGCATACTAGTTGCCTAGCGATGGTTCTTAACCGGATTGAAATGGCAGATATGACAGACATTCAGGATTCAGAATTCAGAATCTGGAGAGTAATGAAGAATATCAAGATGCAGAAGGAAGCTGAAACCCATTCCAAGGAATCTAAGGAATCCAGTAAAACAAATCAAGAGCTGAAAATGGAATAGCTATTTTAAGAAAGAACCAAACTGATCTGATAGAGCTGAAAATCTCACTACAAGAATTTCATAATACATTCAGAAGTGTTAACAGCAGAATAGACCAAGCTGAGGAAAGAATCTCAGAGCACAAAGACTGGTTCTTCAAATCAATTTCAGTTAGACAAAAATAAAGGAAAAAAAATTTTTTTTAATGAGAAAAAATCTGAGAAATGTAACATTATGTAAAGAGACCATACCTACAACTCACTGGGGACCCTGAAAGAGAGGGGGAAACAGCAAGCAAACTGGAAAATATATTTGAGAATACTGTCCATGAAAATTTCCCCAACTTCACTAAAGAGGTCAACATTCAAATTCAGGAAATTCAGAGAACCCCAGAGTACAAAGAAGAGCTGGATTCCTACTGAATCCATTGCAAAAAACTGAGAAGGAAGGACTCCTCCCTAACTCATTATACAAAGGCAACATCACTCCAATGCCAAAACCTGGCAGAGACCCTGTAAAGAAAGAAATCAGGCCAATATTCTTGATGAATATTGACACAAAAATCCTCAATAAAATACTAGCAAACTGAATCCAGCAGCACATCAAAAAAGCAAATCCACCACAATCAAGTAGGCTTTATTCCTGGGATGTAAGATTGGCTCACATATACAAATCAATGAATGTCTCTCATCACATAAACAGAACTAAAAACAAAAACCACATCATCATCTCAAGAGATGCAGAAAAGGCTTTCAAAAAAATTCATCTCTTCATGTTAAAAATCCTCAACAAACTAGGTATTGAAGAATCATAATTCAAAATAATAAGAGCCATTTATGGCAAACCCACAGCCAACATCATACTGAGCAAAAGTTGGAAGGAAGCATTCCCCTTAAGAACCAGAACAAGACAAGGATGCCCACTCTCACCACTACTATTCAACATAGTTCTAGAGATCCTAGCCAGAACAATTAGGCAAGAGAAAAAAATAAAAGGCATTCGAATATGGAGAGAGGAAGTCAAACTCTCTGTTTCCAGACTCTATAATTCTATATCTAGAAAACCTCATAGTCTCTGCCCAAAGACCCCTAGATCTGATGAACAATTTCAGCAAAGCTTCAGGATACAAAATCAACAAAAGTCAAGAGCATTTCTATACACCAAGAACATCCAATCGGAGAGCCAAATCAAGAGCACAATCTCACTCGAAACAGCCACAAAAAAAGAATAAAATACCTAACCAAGAAGGCAAAAGATCTCTACAAGAATTACAAAACACTGCTAAAGGAAATCAGACACAACACAAACAAATGGAAAAACAACCCATGCTCATGGATAGGAAGAATAAATATTATTTTTTAAAAATGGTCATAACTGTCCAAAGCAATTTACAGATTAAATGCCATTCCCACAGAATTAGTGAACTATTCTAATATTCACATGGAGCCAAAAAAGAGCCTCAGGAGCCAAAGCAATACTAAGCAAAAAGAACAAAGTTGGTAGCATCACTTTACCCAACTTCAAACTATACTCCAAGGTAACAGTAACCAAAAGAACATGGTACTAGTACAAAAACAGACACAAAGACCAATGGAACAGGTTAGAGCACCAAGAAATAAAGCTGCACATCTACAACCATCAGATCTTCAAAAAAAATTGGCAATAACAAGCAATGGGGAAGGAACTCTCTATTCAAAATTGTACAGGGATAACTGGCTAGCCATTCGCAGAAGATTGAAACCAGACTCCTCCCTTTCACCATACACAAAAATCAACTCAAGATTTATAAAAGACCTAAATGTAAAGCCTACAGCTATAAAAACCAGGGTAGAACCTAGGAAATATCTAGAAATGCCTAGAACAGAGGACCTAGTAAAGACTTCATGACAAAAACTCCAAAAACAATTAAAACAAAAACAGAAATTGACAAGTGGGACCTAATTAAAATAAAGAGCTTCAGCACAGTGAAAGAAACTATTAACAGAGTAAACAGACAACTTAGAGAATGGGAAAAAATATTTGCAAACTATGCATCTGACAAATGTCTAATATCCAGAACTTATAAGAACTTAAATTTACAAGAAAAAAGCAACTCTATTCAAAAGTGGGCAACGGATATGAACAAACACTCCTCAAAAGTAGACATACAGCCAACAAGCATATGAAAAGATGGTCAACCTCCCTAATCACTAGAGAAATGCAAATCAAAACTACAATAAGATACAGTCAGAATGTTTATTATTAAAAAGTCAAAAAAAAAATAACAGATGCTAGTGAAGTTGTGGAAAAAAAGGAATGCTTATACATTGCAGATGGGAATATAAATTAGTTCAGCCGCTATAGAAAGCAGTTTGGAGTTTTCTCAAAGAATTTAAAACATAACTACTATTGGACCAAGCAATTCCATTACTGGATATACATCCAAAGGGATTTAAATAATTCTACCATAAGACCAATGCACACATATGTTCATTGCAGCATTATTCATAACACCAAAGACATGGAATCAACTGAGATGCCTATTAACAGTGGACTGGATAAAGAAAATATGGTACATATACACCATGAAACACCACACAATCATAAAAAGAATGAAATCATGTCCTCTGCAGCAGCATGGATGCAGTTGGAGGCCAAAGTCCTAAGAAAACACAGGAACAGAAAACCAAATATTGCATGTTTTCATTTATAAGTGGAAACTAAAAACTGAATATATTGTTGGGCACAGCGGCTCACACCTATAATCTCAACATTTTGGGAGGCCGAGGCAGGTGGATCACCTGAAGTCAGGAATTTGAGACCAGCCTGGCCAACGCCGTGAAACCTCACCTCTACAAAAATTAGCCAAGCGTTGTGGTGGGTGCCTATAATCCCAGCTACTTAGGAGGCTGAGGCAGGAGAATTGCTTGAACCAGGAGGCAGAGGTTGCAGTGAGCAGAGATGACGCCACTGCACTCCAGCCTGGGTGACAGAGTAAAACTCCATCTCAAAAAAAAACAAAATAAAAAAAAATTGAATACATATAGATACAAAATAGAGGATAACAGACATATGTACCTGCTTGAGGTGAAGAAAAGGAAGGTGAGGACCAAAAAACTGCCTATCAGGTACTACGCTTACTACCTGAGTGACGAAATAATTTCTACACCAAACCCCAGCGAAATGTAATTTATCCATGTAACCAACCTGCACATGTACTCTCTTAAGCTAAAATAAAAGTCAGAAGGAAAATAAATAAATCCGGCTTAACATCTGCTTTTGTAAGAGAAATTTTAATTAGATTTAATTTTATCATTAATTAGATTTAATTCTGTCATTATGCACCGTGTAGGGTCGTCTTTGTGCTATAACAGTGGAACTGAGCACTGTAGCTGCAAAACAGATCAGATGGCCCACAAAGTCTAAAATACTTACTGTCTGGCTTGTTGAAAGTTTGCTGACTTGTATTCTAGGATGATAAAAAAACAAATAACTAAAAATACAATGCTATAGAATGATAAAATAGATGGTATAAATAGAACAAGAGTTAACTGGTTTCCAAGTACATCAATAAATTCAGCCACACCCAGTAGTTCATGCCTGGAACGCCAGCATTTTGGGAGGCTGAGGTGGTAGGAATTCTTGAGGCCAGGAGTTTGAGACCAGCCTGGCCAACAAAGTGAGACCTTGTCTCTATTTAAAATTTTTAAAATTTGGTAAGTAAATTTAAAGCACTGACAAACATGGCTGTTTTCCTTTCCTGTCAAAAAAGCATTTTCAAAAAGGAAAATGACCTTAGAAGTTCTAAGTTAAAAAAAAAATTTTTTTTCAAATAAAAGTAAAAATTTGAAAAGTTATATGAACACTCCATCACTAAAAAACTTACCATCAACATTCCAGTTTTACTTAATATGATACATTAAGGCACTGTGTTGGGCCATAAGCAAATCATATTTTTCTGAAAGCACCTTCAAAAAATAAATTATATTAAAAAGTATATTTGACAAACATCTACATAAAAGGAACTATGCAACATACCATAAGAAAATTCATAAAAAATAAGACAGAGTAAACTTAAAATGCTAACAACTGAACAGAAAAATAATCTCTAAGACTTCAGAGTTTAACAAGTTAAGTGTATTTATTCTCTATTTCTTTCATATTTATGTAAATAATTTCTTTGTCTGTTTACAAACTACACTAGTTGAAAAATTTGAAAATGTATTACCTGAATTGAATGTTCACTAAATGAGGCTGGGAACCATCTGATTGCCAATAGGTTTCTAGATTGTCATCTCGTAACTGATCCACTCCAAATCCTAAAAACACCAAAAGTGTCAATAAATACCTGTTAAAAAGAAAGAATTATATATGCAAAACATAAAATTAACATATGTATTTGTCCAGAAATTTTGATAAACAGAATGGCCAGGCCAGAAATGCTAAATTTATTTATTTATTTATTTATTTATTTATTTATTTATTTATTTATTTTTGTAGAGACAGGGTCTTGCTGTGTTGCCCAGGCTGGCCTCAAACTCCCAGCCTCAAGGTATCCTCCTGCCGCAGCCTCCCAAAGTGCTGGGATTACAGGTATAAGCCATCATACCCAGCTGTGAAATTTAAATTAACCAGAATTCTACCCTTTTATTCAGAGTTCAAATCTTAGAGAAATATCACTTGCACATACAAAGCTTATATTAGGATCAAGTTTTTTTGTTGTCACCTTTTTAAAAAACATTTTCTAGGATATATTTTAAAGTACATATGCATTCAAACTCAGTTTCTTCAACTTTTTATAAACTAATAGTAAGAATAAGCCCCAATCCTACAAAATCCTCAAAAATAAACACTTTGTAATAAGTTCAATATGTTATACTTACTGAGACAAGAAAGACAACTCAGATATATTTTCAAACGGAATATATATTTTACAACCAAATGCTTCTAATTAAAATTCTGATTAATCAAAATTAAATTTACCCAGAATTCTATGCTCCAGCCATTCTAGATAACTGAAGTTGTACTATCCTGTGTTTTTTTTTCCTGATTAAAACCATAATAATTCATACTAATGCTACAAATGAACCTGATTTAATAGTCAAATATAGACTTTTCAATAAGAGAAATAAGTTTAACTTACGTTTCAATTTTTCACTATGTAATATATTCATTATGGAACAAATTCAAAAGGAGAAGAAAAGAACACAGTGAAAAGTCACTATCCCTCTACCATCTCATTCCTCTCTCAAAATACAATTAATGTTTTCAGTTTATTGCATGCTCTTTCACAGATACTATATGCATATAAAAGCAGTCACATATGTATTCTTTTCTTTCTCCTTTCTTTAAACAAATAATAGCACACAATAAATAGCTCTGCATGTTGCTGTTTTTTATTTTTACTTAACATATCTAGAGATTTTTTTCCATATGAATATTTATTACACATCAGTAAGTTAACAATAATAATAACAAACACTGATATCACATTAACTAAGTGCCAGACACATTCTAAACATTTCATATATGTTAAATAATCTAATATTATTAACTCACATAACTCAACATAAACAGCTTCCATAGTTTATAAGATTGTATAGTATACCACTGTCTGGAAATATCATAATTATTTAACCATACCCCTACAGAACATTTAGGTTGCTTCCAATGTTTTGCTATTACATACAATACTGTAATAAATACCTGTCTGTCTGTAATCTTTAAATATATGTTATTTCTAGAGACTAGATTTCTAGGACTAGAATATTGGGTCATTTGAATGTTTAATTTGATAAATATTGCCCAACTGTCCTCTAAAACGTATCCTCACCAAAAATGTAAAAGAATATCTATTGCCAGGTAGGAGGATCCAAGATGGCCAAATAGAAACAGCTCTGGAGTGCAGTTCCCAGCAAGAACAATGCAGAGGGTGAGTGAACACTGCATTTGCAAATGAGTTATTACTGCCCACAGACCAGGAGATTCCCAGGCTGAAAAGTGCCACGAGTTTCCAGCATGGTTGTTTCAGCCATGAAACAAAAACTCACACAAATCTGAGTGGCCATTTCCACTGATGCCTGGAACACCTGGGAGACAGAGCCACACATTCCACAGAAACAAAGAGGGCTGAAACAGGGATCCAGGTGATCTGGCTTGGCAGGTTCCACTCCCACAAAGACCAGCAATCTGAAACACTTGGGATTGAGAGTTTCACAGCAAGCACAGCTGGACCCAGGATGGTCCAGCTTTGTTGGGGGAAGGGCATCTGCCATTACCGAGGCAGTCTACCACTACCAATGTAGTCCGCCATTACAGAGGCAGTCTGTCTTTATTGAGGCAGACCGTCATTACCAAGGCAGTTCTAACTATTCCTCTATAAATAAAACCCAAGGAAGTTCACACAGCAGCAGGGCAGAGCCCACAGCAGCTCAGCAATGTCTCTGCTGGCAGACAGTGAATAGGCTACCTCCTTGCTGGGCAAGGAATCTCTGAAAAAAGGTAGCAGCATGTCAGGAACTTATAAATAAAGGCCCATCTTCCCAGGAGGGAGCAACCGGAAAAAAAGGTGATCATGAGTTCCGCTGCAACAGACTTAAACGTACCTGCCCAGCAACTCTGAATGAAACAACAGGAGCTCACAGCTCAACACTTGAGCTCCTATAAGGGACAGACTGTCTCCTCAAGCACCTCCCTGACCCCTGTACATCCAAAGAGTCACTTCATAAAGGAGACCTCAGGCTGACATATGGTGGGTATCCTTCAGGGACAAAGATAACAGAAGAAGAAACTGGCAGCAACCCTTACTCTTCTGCAGCCACTGCTGGTGATCCCCAGGGAAAAAGGGTCCGGAGAGGACCTCCAGCAGTCCTACAGCAGAGGAGCCTCACTGTCAGAAGCAAAACTAAAAAGCAGAAAAAAGTAACGCATCATCAACAAAAAGGACGTTACTCAGAGACCCCATCTGAAAGTCACCAACTACAAAAACCACAGGTAGATAAATCCACAAAGATGGGAAGATCCAGTGCAAAAAGGATGAAAACACCCAAAACCAGAATGCTTCTCCTCCTCCAAGGGATCACAACTCCTCACCAGCAAGGAAACAAAGCTGGATGGAGAATGAATCTGATGAATTGACAGAAACAGGCTTCAGAAGGTGGGTAATAACAAATTTCTTTGAGCTAAAAGAACATGTTATAACCCAATGCAAAGAAAGTAAGAACCTTGAAGAAAGGTTTGATGAAATGCTAACAAGAATAAACCTTGGAGAAGAATATAAATGACTTTAGGGAGCTGAAAAACATGACAAGAGGAACTTCGTGAATCATACACAACTTGCAAATTCCGAATCAACCAAGCAGAAGAGAGGATATCAAAGATTCAAGATCAACTAAATGAAATAAAATGAGAAGGTAAGATTAGAGAAGAAAGAGTAAAAAGAAATGAACAAAGCCTCCAAGAAACATGGGATTATGCAAACACACCTAATCTACCTTTGATAGGTGTACGTGAATGTGATGGAGATGGCAGGATCAAATTCACACATAACAATATTAACCTTAAATGTAAATGGGCTAAATGCCCCAATCAAAAGATACAGATGGGCAAATTGCATAAAAAGTCAAAAACCACCAGTGTGCTGTATTCAGCACACCCATCTCACATCCAAGGACATATGTAGGCTCAAGATACAGGGATGGAGGAAGATTTACCAAGCAAATGGAGAGCACAAAAAATCAGGAGTTGCAATCCTAGGCTCTGATAAAACATACTTTAAAGAAAGAAAGACCAAAAGAGACAAAGAAGGGCATTATACAATGGTAAAAGGATTAATGCAACAAGAAGAGCTAATGATCCTAAATACGTACACACCCAATACAGGAGCACCCAGATACATAAAGCAAGTTCCTAAAGACCTACAAAGAGACTTAGACTCCCGCACAATAATAGTGGGAAACTACAACAGTCCACTGCCAATATTAGACAGATCAACGAGACAGAAAATTGACAAGAATATCCAGGACTTGAATTCAGATCTGGACCAAGCAAATGTGATAGACATCTACAGGACTCTCCACTCCAAATCCACAGAATATACATTCTTCTCAGCACCACATCGCACCTACTCTAAAAATGATCACATAATTGGAAGTAAATCACTCCTAGCAAATGCAAAAAAACGGAAATCATAACAAACAGTCTCTCAGACCACACTGCAATTAAATTAGAACTCAGGATTAAGAAACTTACTCAGAACCGCACAACTTCATGGAAACTGAACAACTGACTCCTGAATGTTGACTGGATAAACGATGAAATGAAGGCAAATAAAGATGTTCTTCAAAACCAACAAGAACAAAGAGAATCTCCGGGACACATTTAAAGCAGGGTCTAAAGGAAAATTTATAGCAATAAATCCCCACATGAGAAGCAAGGAAAGATCTAAAATTGACACTCTTATCATCAAAATTGAAATAGCTAGAGGAGCAAAATCAAAAAAACTAAAAAGCTAGCAGAAGACAGGAAATAACTAAGATGAGAGCAGAACTGAAGGACACAGAGATATAAAAAACCCTTCAAAAAAAAATCAATAAATCCAGGAGCTGGTATTTTGAAAAAAATCAACAAAATAGACCACTAGCCAGATTAATAAAAAAGAAAAGAGATAATAATCAAATAGATGCAATAAAAATCAATAAAGGGGATATCACCAGAGATTCCACAGAAATACAAACCACCATCAGAGATTACTACAAACAACACTATGCACATAAACTAGTAAATCTGGAAGAAATGGATAAATTCCTGGACACTTGCCTAAGCCTAAACCAGGAAGAAGTCAAAACCCTGAATAGACCAAAAACAAACACTGAAGATGAGGAAGCAATTAATAGCCTATCAACTAAAAAAAGCCCAGGTCCAGATGGGTTCAGAGTCAAATTCTACCAGACATAAAAAGAGGAGCCAGTACCACTCCTGAAACTATTCCAAACAATACAAAAAGAGGGAATCCTTCCCAAATCATTTTATGAGACCAACATCGTCCTGATACCAAAACCTGGCAGAGACTCAACAAAAAAAGAAAACTTCAGGCCAATATCTGTGATGAACATAGATTCAATAAAATACTGGCAAACTGATCGCAACAGCACATTAAACAGCTTATCCATCACGATCAAGTAGGCTTCATCCCAGGGATGCAAGGCTGGTTCAACATACGCAAGTCTATAAACATAATCCACCACATAAATCAAACCAAAGACAAAAACCACATGATTATCTCAATTGATGCAGAGAAGGCTTTTGACAAAATTCAGCA